AAAAAAAAAAAAAAAAAAAAAAAAAAAAAAAAAAAAAAAAAAAAAAAAAAAGCTCGGACTTTTCTCTGTCTTTTACTATCATGTCTTCCGCCTATCCCACATCATCACCAATATTATAATTCAACACATCTTAATTAACAACAAATCTCTTATCTTCTTTAATCTCTTTTGACATGCATAGGTGGCTGTTCGCTGAGGGTTAAAGACAAAGGCGCTGTGCTGGAATCAAGCATCCGATGCATTATCAAATGCAACGCCATTTCCAAGCCTCCCACTCAAGGTATTTCACTACGCTTCAATTCACAATAACCTTCCCTCTCCAAAATCCTTATGCCTCACTAACCCGCAGACTACAGCGATGTGCTTCAAAGTGGAGTGCCACTTCTAAAGTGGCAGCAGTTTGTGGAGGAGGGCATAGAATCAGAAACTGCTGCCCAGGTGCTTCTTCCCCTTACATTTCTAACCCCTTTAAATTACTACAACGTTGGTTCGTATTCTTGTTTCTGGGTGCGGCATGATGCATGTAAATTAGTGTAAAATCAGGTGTCGGTTTGGGAAGAGATAGAGGAGCGAGTGAAGTGGATAAAGTCAATGCTGAGTTCAATGGACGACGGTGACATAAGCATCTCAGCTTATGACACGGCTTGGGTGGCTCTAATACCAAAAGTTACGGAGGAGGGAGTGAAGAGTCCGCAGTTCCCTTCTTCCCTTGAGTGGATAGCCAACAATCAACTCCCGGATGGGTCATGGGGCGACGCCCAGATATTCTCACCCCACGATCGCATCATTAACACATTGGCTTCTCTGGTCGCCTTGAAGTCTTGGAATCTTCATCCCCAAAACACACGGAAAGGTCCTTCTCCCTCCCAACGCCACTTCTAACTCAACTAACTAGTGTTAATCTCCATTTTTTAACTCAACTCCAGGAGTAGCCTTCTTCAACCAAAACATTTGGAAGCTGGAAGAGGAGAATGCGGAGCACATGCCGATCGGGTTCGAGATTGCTTTCCCTTCCCTACTCGAATTTGCCAAGAAACTAAAGCTGGGAATCCGGAGCGACTCCCCGGCGTTGCAACAGATTAATGCCCGCAGGGCCCTAAAGCTTGCGAGGTACATTGTTGTATGTTTAATTACAAAAGTAAATGGGAGAAGGGGGAGGAAAGTTGAAAGAAGGGTATACAGAAAATAGAAAAAGGAGTAATTAAAAAGGCAAGAAATGTGTGTCCAAAACAGGATACCAAAGGACATAATGCACAAACTGCCAACCACGCTATTGCACAGCTTGGAAGGCATGAGTGGTTTGGATTGGGAAAAGCTTCTAAAATTGCAATCTCAAGACGGCTCCTTCTTGAGCTCCCCAGCCTCCACTGCCTTCGCTCTCATGCACACCAACCACCCAAATTGCTTCAAATATTTGGAAGCATTGGTGCACCGCTTTAATGGTGGAGGTAAAAACTTGGGTCCTTTTTTCTTTTTTTTTTCTTTGTTTCTTCTTTTCCTTTTCCTTCATAGAATTTGTTTCATTCTCATTTAAACTTCAGTACCCAACGTGTACCCTGTGGACCTGTTCGAACACATTTGGGCTGTGGACAGATTGCAACGACTTGGAATTTCTCGATTCTTTCACCCACACATTGTTGAGTGTGTGAATTATGTGCGCAGGTGCTACCAAATTATAACTAAATTTAATTGGAAATACTGTAATCCAAAACTTGAGGTTCATTTGTGCAGACACTGGAGTGAAAAAGGAATATGCTGGGCCAGAAATTCGGAGTTTCGCGACATTGATGACACGGCCATGGGATTCAGACTGCTCAGACTGTACGGCCACGATGTTTCGGCGGGTAACTATAATTATAATTAAAGCTATATTATGAATGAGATGAGATGAAATGAAATGAGATGGAACGAAACAGAGGTGTTTAAGCATTTCGAGAAAGATGGGGAGTTCGTGTGCATAGCGGGCCAGTCAACGCAGGCGGTCACCGGAATGTTAAACTTGTACCGAGCTTCGGATCAGGTAATGTTTCCGGGGGAGAAAATTCTAGAGGACGCCAAACAATTTGCCTCCAAGTTCCTCAGGCAGAAACAGGCCGCCAATCAGCTCTTAGACAAGTGGATCATCGCCAAGGACTTGCCTGGAGAGGTAAACCCAAATTATTTTCAACATTTAACCTTCTCACTTTCACGAGGGACTTCACGACTTTCCTGTTGCCCGCAGGTTGGTTACGCTCTTGACGTTCCATGGTTTGCAAGCTTGCCTCGGGTTGAGACCCGTCTCTACATACAGCACTATGGTGGCAAAAATGACGTCTGGATTGGAAAAACTCTCTACAGGTATTATTATGATTATTATTATTTGTGTGTTTTGTCTGCATTCATTCATTCATCGCTTACATTAATGAACATTTCAGGATGTTCAAGGTCAACAACGATACATACTTGGAGCTTGCAAAATTGGACTACAACAACTGCCAAAGATTGCATCAGATTGAGTGGGTTGATATTCAAAAGTAAGCTAACGCCCCAACCCTGTAGCATATATTTAAATACCTTATGATCCATCAATTCATTAATCAACTATGCATGGGGGCTCAGATGGTACACAGAAAGCAAGCTGCGAGATTATGGAATGAGGAGAAGCAGCATTTTGTTCTCATATTTTGGTGCAGTGTGTAGCATTTTCGAACCAGAAAGGGCCAAGGAGAGGCTTGCATGGACCAAAACTGCTGCTTTGGTCCACACCATTGCATCCCATTACAAGGATGCCAATGCCCACCAACGACGAGCCTTTCTCCAACAATTTACCAACTTTCATGCTGCTCAGCCATACGATAATAATGCATGGTATGTCTCCTTTTTCTTTTTTTTATTTTTATTTTTATGTGGCTAAGTTTGTGGCATCCTTTGTCTGTATTTGTGTCACTATCTTCGTGGATGCTTGTGTTTCGATCAATATTCTTGTACAACCATCGTGGGGTTTTTGTTTTATGCTTCGTCATGAAATGGGAGTCCACTGGAAACAACGCATTAATATTATTTATCTTAAACATTTCTATATATGCCCTCGTCGCTTTGAAATGACCAAGAATCTCACCAAAGAAAGAGCCTTTATTATATCCACTAACCCCTTTAATTAGTGTTATTATATTATTAACATTTAGGAGGAATTCACTCAAACATCAAACCGTATTCTTAAATATTAGTGTTCTACTGTTTTTTTTTTTTCTTTTTCTTTTTTCACTAAATGTTGGGTGAGAGACTAAATTAACTTTGTAAAGAGAGAAAAGCAAAAGCAAGATGGTTATTCATAGAGAAATTGAAATGAAACGTGGCTGATTCGTACGAGGAGGAAGTGTATAGGAAATCTTGAAGGGAATCTGAAGCTCTTGATGAGCATTGTTTTTGTGGTTGAATTTTGTAAGAATGAAGAAGAAGAAGAAGAAGTAGGTGGGCCGCTTATTGCTGGGAAGAGCAATCATGTGTTCGAGAAGAGAATAAAGAAAGGATTTGTAAAGTGGTTGACTTTGGGATTTGTTTTGACAGGAGATCAGGCAATATGCAGCAGAAGGGAGGAGAAGGACTAGTTGGGATTTTGCTGCGAACTCTAACAAATATCTCGTTGGATATACTGTTGTCGCACGGCGTCGACATCACCCACCATTTGCACCAAGCTGTGAGAGTTTGTTTGTTATCCTTTCATTCAACACTCACATTCATTTTGCGCTTTCATGTCTCATCCTAATCATATCTCTTTCTACTTTTTTGAACAGTACTCAAATCCTTCATATCTCATCTCTTTTTCAGATATGAAAAATCCATCATACCTATCAAAAACTACAGATACTTAAACATATATTTGGTAGACATCAAGTGTAAATACAAAACACTTTAACTACTTGAAAAACCAAAACTAATAGTTAATGTTTTCATCGATAGTGGCAAAAATGGGTGTTTAAGTGGCAAGAGGATGGAGATGTGCACAAGGAAGAGGCAGAGTTATTGGTGCAGACAATAATTCTCAACTCAGGCTGTTCAACTTTGGAGGATCTGTTGTCCAATTCTCAGTTTCAGAAGCTTTCCAACCTCACAAACAAAGTGTGCCATCAACTTGCTCACTTTAAAAAGCATAAGGTTAGTGTTTCATCCAGAGGTACAATCCATTCACCCCACACAATCATGATAAAAACATTATATGCCACCTTAATCTTTGTTGTCCTTGTAAAACACTGAAACATGGATTCTTTACCTGACCTGACCTTTGTTTCATTAATCAGGTAAATAACGGTAACCTCTATAAGGAGAAAACAGACAACAAAATGCCCCCAGAGATAGAAGAAGACATAAGGAAACTTGTGCAGCTGGTGATCCAAAAATCTTCAGATGGCAATGACATTGACTCACCGATTAAGCAAACATTTCTAACAGTAGCAAAAAGTGTGTACTATGCAGCTTATTTCGATGCTTGGACTATCAACTACCACATAGCCAAGGTCCTATTTGAAAGAGTGTTCTAATCCTAGCTACCCACACACCCATGTTGTATTTGTATTGTCAAATTTTGTATATTCTTCACCACATGGGACACAAAAACTTTGGTCTGTGTTTCTTCTGTCAATAAAAAGACATCATCTTTAAAACCCAAATCATTGCCACTTTGACAGTGATCAAAAGGGAGACAACTCGATCTTTCGATTTCGATGTTGATTGCGATTTGGTTCTAATCAATGGTCTAGTAGTTAATAGGATAAGATAGAGTGTAGGTGGCAGTATATATGGTAGTGATGTGTTTCGCAAACCACATAGAAATGTTTGGAAGGGAATTTCTTTGTAGTGTTGTAATAGTTCTTGCTGTTTACGGTCTACCTTATGAAAAAATGGCAGACAATGTCACATACGGACATGTGAAGTGTTTGGATTAAGTGGAGTTTCTCAAAACCTATTATATATAAAAATATATATTTTCCCTAAGATCAGGCTACCAGAGCATCCACAAATGCTTGGTACTTCCTCCTAACCTTCTTTCCTTTTAGTATTAAGAAAATTCAAAAGCTAGGCTGTTTGACTAAAATCAACTTATCAAGTCTGATATCAAATAAAAGGGAAAGGATAGTTCAGGAATCTGAACTTCTAATTTCCTTTCATCCTAATCAAATCAAATCACCCAAAAGTTTAATATGTTAAGTCAAATTCATTTAAAGTTTGTTAATACATCTATGGAGTAACTGTGGGATTTGGTGTAACTTTATTCCCACCCTCCCTATCGAATCTGTTCTCCCCATAGTGCTCATTAAGCACATTGATCGGGACATATGGATTGGTACGTATCAACAACTAAAGCCAATTACTCAAGTTCAAACATTGCAAATCGGGAGGTTGATATGATTGGTTTGATTATTCGATTTCTATTTCAGATGATGACGATGAAGATGACGTAATCACAAGCCTATACACTGTTATTATCATTTCATATAAGAACGTCATCTACATTAAATTTTTGGCTTCTCAAGTGTGACTAATGACAGCAAAATCTAGTTTTGGGCTTGTTTAGATATCATTAGATCTTATTGCAGACTGTATAATTCCATCATAAATCACGCACAAATCTCTACATTTTACACTAAAAGAATGAAGAAGTACCTGTTTTAACATTCAGATTGGCAAATCAGAAATTGTATACGTAACTCTTTTCCACAAAATGCTTGAAGAAACGACAGAAAGAATGTACGAGTGCAATGTCGCCAAGAACAAAATCAGTGGATTCGATAAGCACTGACCAGTGGACATGGCATTGGGAGGCATGTGAAGCCCACCCAGAGCCCTTCATGCTTAATGAAACAGAGGGGACTTGGAAGAAGACAAACAAATATGGGTTGCATTGCATTTCACTCAGATAGACAGAGACCTGATCTGACGCGAATTTGAGTTCATAACCGCATTATGATTGTGGCCTCGATTCTTCACTCTCCCAATCTGATGTGCCTCCCGAAACATGCATCTTGTTTCCTTCTAGTGAATACGACATTCATAATCAACGCAGACCAATGGATGCCTTTTCTTCGAGTCTTGTCCGCATTTCCTTGTTTTCTTTTGAACTCTCTCTATTTACCAATTTAATAAAAGTTGATCCGTTCCGTGAATGTTAGGTCATGGACTCGGGGTTAAGTTGGATGCATGTGAGCTTTGTCGAAGAGCGTTCGAGCCCAACAAGGACCTTGGGCTCAGTCCTTGTGAAGAAACCTGTGCGCTTGTCGTTCAACATGAAAGCCCAACATCTTAATTCTTGCCCAACAGCTGGTTGCCTCCATATTAGCACACTACCTGGAAGTTGGAAAGCCCAAATCCATGGGAGCTGTTTCTCAAGCCCCTCTCTTGCTTGCAGCTTCTCTACAATCCTACCACTTTCAATATGAAAGCCCAACATCTTAATTCTTGCCCAACAGGAATCCTCTTATATGGAAAGAGTAATAAATGGAAATGAAAATAACAATAAATGAATATGGAAAGAGTAATAAATAGAAATAACAATAAATGTAAAGATATCTATAGTAATAAAGTAAATATTATAATAAAATATCAAATATAATATATATGGTAAACTATAATTTATTACTCAATATTCTTAACACCCCACTGCAAGCTAAGCGTCGGATTTAAACGAACGTGAAACTTGAATCTAAAAAATTCAAGAGGTTGAGAAACACTTTTCTTGAAGATGTCAATAACCTGGTTCATAGGAGGATTAGAGAAACACTTTCTTGCCCATAAAAAATTGTAGAGGGATCGCCACTCAGAGTCGATGCTGCCTTGGCTTCAGTGAGAATATATCTAACCCATGTAGAGGGATTGTCGCTTAGCGACGATACTGCATTGGCTCTGGTGAGAATAAGTTTAACCCCAAGAAGTAGAAGGGAAAACTTAGAGCAAGGGACAAAGACAATGTTAGAAGCCGGAAGAGTCGTCACATTGGGCGAAGAAGCCAATTTTGGTGAGAAGGGCAGTCGGAAGAGTTGCCACATTGGGTGAAGGAGCCAATTTTGGCAAGAAGGGCTGCGACAACTTGGTTGGCTAATAGGCCAGTGCGGCACCCAGATTCCGAAGGTAAATTTCCGCAAAAGGTTGATGGGCTTGTCGAGATTCCGTATATTTTTTGAAGAGAACATTGATGAGGATCCTGAGATTATGGTTTTTGTGAAGAAGAATGACAGGTTGATTGGGAAGAAGATGAGAGAGACTATATTGGCCAAGGGAAAAACCGATTGGGTTGGAAAAGGTAAGGTTGTATGTACATGACGAAAGGTGATTTGGAGGTCAATAGGGTGGAGCTGAAGAGTAATCAATTGCTTCGCCTGCGGCAGCCATGAAGACTGCCCCTGCGGTGTCAAAGCCAGCAGGGGTGGTAGAGAAGAAGATTAGAGGATTCAAAAGACATTGAAAGGAAAGGATCGGGGTTGTTAAACCGAGATATCTCTGATACCATAAGAATGTTATCTTACTTATAATCAAATAAATTAAAGGATATGGAAATAGTAATAAATGGAAAGATACCTATGATAATAATGCAAATATCTTGTCTTATAATAAAATATCATATTATAGTTAACTATAATTTATAATCAAATATATTGTTGGATGATGAAAGTCCCACCTCGGCTAATTAAAGGAATGATCATGAGTTTATAGTGAGGAATACTAACTTCATGCTCAAAGTGGACAATATCATACCATTGTGAATTTTTTTTTTTTTTCTTTCTTGAACATGGTGGGTCAGTCTTAAGTAATGATGGATTCATTGCTCATTTAGAATGTGTTGTTCGACACATCACCTGTTGCCTTCTGTTTCTGTCCTCTTAACATGTGATGATATAGTTTATGACGCTCATGTTTTTCTCTCGACATTTCTGCTCATGATCGACATGTATCTGTAGAGAATTCCCCTGATTGCCAAAATTAGTATAATCTATGAACCTAAAATACTGTTATTAAATTTCTATAACTACAGCCTCCATTACAGAATTGCTTGAATGTTCAGCTAGAATCATTCTTAGAAAGATGAGTCATTCGTGTTTTATCTTTCAGTATACTCGCGAAAGAGATGGTCTGAATCAATTGAAGTATCGAAGCTTTAGGTAGTAAAAAAAAGTGGGATGCTGTAAGTCAGATTAGTCAACATTTCTATGTTTCGATGCAACAACAAGATGTTAAAATAAAAAAATATAAAAAAATTTGTATATTATTTCTGCAGATCATATAATGAAATAGAGCCACTTTGAAGTTCTATTAAACTTTTATTTTGAGAAATATTTTTAAATATGAATGAATTTTTCATAGGTCAAAAAACCTTTCTCAGCCAATCAAAAATCCTTAGCCCATATAGCCCCTGAAAGAATACCTATGCTCTTAGGTTGTACAGTATATATAAACAGGATTACTTCAAAACGTTTACGCTATTTCTTTCCATTACCCAATTTATACCGATCGTTACTGGGATTTTACAATATTCAGAATGGTGCTTTCGTAATTTTCCTGAGATAGAGTGCCAAATGTCACTAAATGAGGGAGAGCACGCCAACGTGATGCTTGGGTAGGATATTTAAATGCAGCTCTCATACCGTTTCACATCGTGGATTCTGGTTCAAACCCTCCTGACTGCTCGATCGCAGTGGCACCACTCTAATCCGATCGTTACCGGCAGAGCTTGTTGACGAAGAATTCCAGTCTAAATCTTCTTTACTGTTCATCTTTATCTTCTATAGATCTTAATCCTACGGAAGAACTTCCTCGATATTTCGGGTGCGTTAATCTCTCACTCTCTTCTAGAAATGGTTGAACAAAGTGACGCTTGCTTGCTTAGCTATACGTGTCTTCGAATCTGAGCTTGGTTATTTTTTTCTTTTTTTTCTTTTTTGGGTTGCGATTGAACAAGTCGTTCCCTGCAATTTGTGAACTTTTATTGCTAGATCTGATTAGAAAAAGAAAAATCTGAATTGTTTTATATTTATTTTTTGTTTTTCAGCTAAGCCGGTTGAATCGCCGCCTGGTTTCTCTTGTCGAGGTTCGATTTGGATCTAGCGTGGAAGAGATAAAGTAGGCCTGTTTAAAAGGTTTAGACTTTTCGTATAGCCATCAGCTTTGTGTTGAGTTGTAGAAGTTTGATCTACTGGGAGAAACTGAAATTGTAACTTAAATTTGGATACATACTTTGAGTTGGGAAGTTTATTTTGGTATGGAAGCAGTGGCCGTTTTTGAGCAGCATAGGAACCAATATTATGGTGGGGTCAATGCTCGATTTGGGTCATTCCCGTCCCGAGACTTCAGAGGGGTGAACTGTAGGAGTTTCCAATCTGGAGTTGGTATATTCCCAACTCCCTCCAAGGATTCTACCTCTGAAACTAAACACTTCTACCCTTCTTCTCCAAAAACACCACTAACTTGTTTAAGTTCCAACTCCGGAAATGCTAAATCTGGAGCTACTGTGCCAACTGCTCCAATTCCTATCAAACCCAAATTTTTAAACAACAGTGTTCTCCATGAAGAATTCTATGATCCAAGTTTCTCGTTCTCTGAGCTTTGGGCTGGACCCACTTATTCGAATTCTCCGCCTCCAAGTTCGTTACCCATTCCCAAATTTTCAGTTGCTAAGAGAACCACGTCTCTGGAGATCCCTCGTTCTGCCCCTGAATTTGATTTGCATCACCCATCTGCCAAGTCAGCACCATCATCCCCAACTCGAGACCAAAACTTTTCCCCCATATTTTTCTTTCATAATGATGTCTCTGCGACTAAGACTCTACGTCGCATTCTTCATCTTGATGTTGACAATGAATGAACTTCAGGGAGCATCAAGCTTCTGTAAATAGGCTTACTTTTGAGCTGGTTAGTGTCATGTATATAGAACGACTAAGTTGGTTAGTGGTGTCAGTCATGAGTATCCTCAGTTCGCAGGAACAGCCAATAGTTAGATGCTGCACCTTAAACTGTGCTTAGATGCTGAACTGGATTTGGTTTGGCAGACAAAGACAAGATAGGGCGCGATAGCAACACAGATTAAATCAAGATATTCAGAAGGCAGAAGTAGGGTGTTGGTGAACTTTTTAATCTCTGTTCTGGCCATCATCTGCCTGCCACATTCCAGTGTCTATTCCATTCTGTAATTTGTATCATACTGTACGATCTCAAACTAATGCTTCATTTACGTTCTGTAGGCTTCTATTTCATTATTTTCATCCATTCCTTCCTTACATCCTCGGTTCTTATTGGTTAGGTTCTTTGGCCTCATGGGTTGGTTTTTCGATACTTAAGTCTCTCCTTTTCTTAATATCCTCAATCCTTTTCTTTTACACATACCTCCTCTAATTATCTTATAGCTTTTCACTTCTTTGCCTGCGGACTGTGAGGGATCCTTCTTTACTGCCTTTTCAGTTTTTTTGTAAGACAAGGCGGGGTTCGGATAATAGTTTGCTTCTTCGCAATTACTCCATGTAGCACTTTTCTGTTTTCAGTACCTCTTGGATTTGTCATCTGTGTTCCTGTCTAGTATGGAACTTTCTTATTGGTTTTTGCAAGGTTCGTCTTCCTTCTCGAATATCATTGACCACATGGAGCGGTATATGAGGTAACTCTTTTGTACTGTTAACTTGCTCTATTTGATATATGCATGTTTATCCCGTTGTTCATTTTCCTTATTTTGCATTGAGCAGACAAGCTTAGGATGAACAGTTCAGGTGATGATTTTCAGTAGTAGTATGGTTGGTTTCCCGTGGACGTAGTTCATCACCAGAGAAAGGCTTCTTAGAAGCGAGTCCAGTTTATGTTTGTGATCCTTGTCTTGACATCTGTGCTCACTTAAAGTCGTACGGTTGGTGTTGGAGTTTGTTTGTTTTTTCATATCAGTTTGAATGGTAATTGCCTTCGCTTTCTGTGTTTGAAGGGCAATGTTTATTGCAGCTCCCGAAAGTTGAGCAATATTGTAATGTTGATGTTATGTAATGTTTATGTGTGTAATCTATAAAATATCGTACAAGCTTTCAGTTTGTTAACTACTTACTAATTTGCACTTGAAGTCTTCAATTTTATCAAAATTTTAGTTTGGGAGAGAATTTGGTTGAGTAAAGAGAGACACTTTTGTTGCTTGACCCCGTCCATACGTAGCGACATGATGGACGCAGGCAATATAAAGAAGGATGTGATGTTTGGGCGTGGTTGCTTTGCATTTTTTTCTTCTTTTGGCTGCCAACTACGGCAATTGGTAATGGAATTCCCAGAAGCAGAGCCTGGTGTGCTTTCCATCCGGCTCCTAAAAAAATCTTAATATTAAGGGGTTGATAGATCTTGGTCGTTACCAATCTGCCTGCTAGACTCGCAGGTTATTACGTAACATCACATAGACTCTCTTTCCCTCTACCAATTTGTCCATGAGCATGCTTGTTGGAATTTCCTATAAACTGGGGACCAACAAAATATGGATGCTCACAAATCATTCATAATATTCATGTACCACCTCAGAATCTTACACAGTTCCAATGATATCCAATTTTCCAGGAGAATCATCAACATACCCCAAGAATGAACATCATAAGATTACAAAAAGAGGCAGCCACCAGAAAAGGCAATAGGAGAGGTTATGAGGCAAACACAATGCAATGACAAGGTAGCAACAGAATGGTATCCTAAATTCTCAACTGAGCACATCCCCGAATAGCCCCATGGCATCTGGTCATTGATGTTGCACGTCGCCATGTTGGCCTCTCACCTCCTGTTGTCAATATGTCAACATCAGATGTTGGCTTGACGTCCCAATTCAAACGGTCGGGACCGATATCTCCTCCAATCACGTAAATTTCATCTCTCAAACTCATCATTGCAAACCCAATTCGTTGGCGAAATTCGGATGCTGAAATAATGACCTTCTTAGCTTCTCCATCGTGCTTGAAAATATGTCCATGGCTCATCACATAGAGTGAACCCTGGACAACGGTCATTGGACCTTGAAGCCAACCATAATCTTCAACTCTCCATCCAGGCCGCGTATTCTCGAAAATTTGCACAGTTGATAATCCCTTGTGCAGGACGTGCAACTTCCCTCCAATCACAACCCCTGTGCAAGCAGAATGGTGAGTGTGGTGTAGGTCAGGCAGAGGAATCCAAGCATCTTTATCAGGATCGTACATTTCTGCCTGAGAAATTGATTTTCTGCAGCTAGTAAAACCACCTGCAACAACAATCTTTCCATCCAAAACACAGCATGCAAACATGGCACGGGGTACAAGCATTGATGCACATTGAGACCACCGGCGTATTACAGGATCATAGGACCACACCTCATTGGTGGCAAAGTTCCTATCTTGATCTCCGGTTAACGGATCAACAGAATCACTGCCACCACCAAGCACAAACAACTTTCCAGCAGTGGACACAGCACCAAAGCGTGCAAGATGCCTAATTTTCGATGGTAATACCGGAATTGTCATCCAAAGGTCTCTGAGGGGGTCATAGAGCTGCCATAGATTCTCAGGTTCGAATGCACATACGCATAATAGATCTTCTGATGATCCAATCTCCTGCCGGACTCTGTATAGTTCAGCACTGTGAATGGCAGCTTGCCAGGAGTGAGAAACAAGCTCCAACTGTGGATAGAGGTGGAAGGGCACACGTGCAAGGCACCTAAGGGCAACCGCGTCTGGGAGACGGTCAATCAACTCAGACATAATAACCCCTTTTCATCCGTTTCAGATGATTATCCACGACAGGCCGTTTCTTGTTCAGGAAGCAAGTAATCTGAGATTAGAGGAAGAATATTCACATGTTAGACAAGCAATTAATAACTTCTCACAGTTCGATTAAGATGAAAAAGAAAACAAGTTTTAGCATACACACACAATACGGACAAACAGCAGAGCATAACCAGTCTGTCCCATGCTCTAGGAGAAAAGTTACTGCTTAAATATACACGTAGCTGATTAGAGAGAAATATTCATTATTCCTGACGGTCGGAATGCATTTGGTGATAAAATGGTATTAAATAAACTGATGATTGAATTTTTAACCCATATAAAGAAATTCAGGACACAACACAGTCATGGATGTACAGTTACAATGCGGTCTATGAACAAAGCCATAATGAGAGGCAATCAATTCAGATGGTAAATAAGATCTGGATATAAAGGTAGAGAGTCTCTATTAACTAATCTAGAGATCAAAGTGATCTCTTAACCTATAAAATCTACACAAAAAAATTGCTGAAAAACTGAACTCGTCCATGAGCTTTTAGCTACCAAGTCCAAAGAATAGCTATAATTTAACAGCAAGGTATCAGATTTTCAATTTAGAAGCTGCAGATTTTACACCTGGATTTAAAACACTTCCATCAGTAGCTCTAACACCATATGGTTTGTATTGTTCATATTTAATATCAATAAACATCTCCCAACTGTGGGAAAATGCTAAACAACTGAGTTGGACACAAAAAAAACCTATAAAGTGATGTATCTTTGAAACCTTTGTTTATGATGCAGCAGATTTAGATAAATGGTGCGGCCCAATGGCCAAGAAGAATTGGGAAACCCATCTCGAGAATGCATAAGAAATCAGAACAATCATCATTCAACATTCAACTTGTAACCCCTTCTGCCAAACTCTTCCAAGACAGAAGATTTCTTTGGTTCTAGAAACAAAATCAGACCTCCATCATGCAGGAATGCCCCGTTCACAGTTCAAACTTGAAACTAAGAAAATCCACATTTTAAAGATAAAAGAACTTCAAACAACCCTTCACTTCACATAGAGCATACTGTATATGCACAAGAAGGCAATAATGGGACTACAAAATTAGCATCATACGACTAAGAAAACTAAAGAAGATTGAGGAATTGGACGAGAAGACCTGGTCTTTAGCTCCTGCTTATTTTGAACAATAAGGGGAAGAATCTCCCTTTCTTCAATGTAATTGAATTTTTTCAGCTTTTCCTAGTCGTGTCAATTAGTAGAGATGACAAAAGCTGGATAAAATCAGCTCAACATGACATGACATCCACAGTTTTCCTCAAAATCCATTCTGAATGTTCCAAGAAAATCAAGCTTGAATTTTCCGGGTAGGGACTGAGAATGGTAATAGTAGGAGTGCTGATACCACTCAAGGGAGGACTCAAACTAAGATTAAAACTGAAGAAGTAAAAACAGAACAGAGCATTGACAATAACCCGTTAAGATAATGCGGTTAGGAGTGTCCATGTATTGTGCATGATCCCGGGCCCCTGCACCCCAACTGCCTGGACAGCTTCGAACTTCCAGGATATACCCGCATGAATTAAGTTGTTCGGAGTCCAATAAGAAGGAAACTGTATCCAACAACCTAGCGTACGCAAATTAATTCATACCCAACATCTAATCCCAATACAATCCGGAACCAAGGCAGAAAGGGTGAAGGGAAATTTGCATCCGAAGTTAGAGCGGGTGATAAAGAAAGAGCGCCAAGATTGAATAAGAAAATGAAGGAATTATTGGGTAAGAAGGAAAATTAGGAAAAGGGTGTAAATTGTATAGAGTGAGCGGTGGTAGAAGAAGAAGAAGAAGAAGAAGAAGAAGAAAGGAAGAACTGAAAAGAGAGATTAGTAATACCTGGTAGAAATAATCGAAGAAAGAAGATTGCAGATATGGAGAACATAGAAGAGTAGCGTCGAAATCTGCGAGACGAGGCGTGGGTTGAAAAGGGTTGAAGGAAAAGCGGAGTCAGAAAAACCAAAACCATAAACAAAAAAGGGTGCTCACGCTCATTGCTTCTTATTGCTTCAATTTAATTCTCAATTACATCCCAACTGCACGCTTACCCTGAACACAAAATCCCTTCCTTCCATTTCTTCCTATCCATCTTCGCCCATACTCTGCCCCAAACTTGTCCTACACCTCCTAAATAAACAATATTCTTCCTTTTCTTTTCTATATATATATTATTCACTTCAAATTCGTTTAGATTCATACTAATCTCTCTAAATACGCTACTTCAAATCCATGGAAAAAGCTCCTAAATAAATTACATATTTGATATTAAACAATTAAATAATTTGTGTTCGTTTTTAAAATGGTTTTAAAAATCTTGACTTTTCAACTGGGATTAAATATGGAAATGGTATCTTTAAACCCATACTTAAACAAGAAGAATCTTTAAAGGACACTTTTCTTTTTTTTTTTTCTTTTTTTTTTTTCTAGTGGTTCGATACGTATGTGAATATATAATCCTTGCTTGGGGTCGGTCGTTTCATTCAGCTTATAACAGAGCTGTCAGAAGTAGGCCGACAACAGTGAGATCATAAAAGGGCGTTTTGATTAAGCTCCGGCCGCCGCTCTCGGGATTCCTCCTGTTGTTTGGAGCATATTTGGAGTCTACTTCCGAAGGATATGTAGTCTTCTCCCGTGTTGTTGGAGCTTCACCAAGTTCTTCGTCATCTGAAGGTGAACTCCCCGGTGAACTTATCGGAGATATTGGTGGAGCAGCAGCAGCTCCATTAGCATCTGTGTGTTATCACATCCAAGTTAGTGTTTATATGATGATGTCCTCCACCACTCTTTGAGCCTGTCTTCGGCATTTTAACTAAAAATTTGTCTCTACTGTTGTGGAATTCATCATTGCCCATCCGGAAAATATAAAATATAATAATCATGTAAGGTCATTTTCAATCCTTTTAAATTCTCAACTCCATTCTGCTCACCAAAAACAAAATTGCATATATTTTTTAACTCAACAATTACGTATTTAATTTTTTTCACTAAAACTTTTTAATCTTTTTTTGTTAAAATAGCATACGTAATTGTGGTGTTGCTAATTGTTTTTTTTTAATTCGGACCCTAATTGAGAATTTAAAATATGTTAGAATGTAAAATTGAAAATTTTGGAAAATTAAAGACGAAATTAAAAAATGATGTAAACAAGAGGGCCCATTGACTATATTTAGAAGCGCCAGGTGCAACTTGGAAAGAATAGAATGTGGTTACCATTACAGCGGCTGGGTGGCGGCGTTTGAACATTACAGGCAGCAGGAAGCCCAAGAGCTCGAGTCCGGTTGATAGTGACACCGAGAGAAACCGCAGCGCCACCATTGAGCGCCGAGCAAAGGCATTGTGGCTGCGATTGAACCACGGTGGCAAGGCGCGAGCAGCAAGAAGAAGATGGAGCAGTGGAAGTGGAAGAGCCTCCGCTGCCTGTGGTATAAGTTAGGCATGGAGATAAGCTTATCAACGCCGTGGTGCAACCAACTGACTGGGCCACGCTCTCATGGCTCATACCGAAAGCCACAAGGAGTAGGAAAAGGGCTGATTCAATGCCCATTTGTTGCGGTTGTTTAACTTTTTTGGGGGTTGATTCCGAAGAAAGATACGCATGAGGTATTTATAATACCCAAACTGGAAACCAAACCCATGGTCATCGAAGATTTAAGTGGGTGGCCGAACTTTCCTCATTCGGTAAACTATTTTGCACCAGTCTGAACCTAGAGTGGAGACTAACTTGTTTACATTTTTTTTTTAAAAAAAAATTTGGTAGAATACATTATTTTGGAACTTCATTCTGAAATGTACAGAGACTTGTGAGTATTGGGATGATTTGACACAACTCCCAATCATGACACTGAGGCTTATTTATTGGTATAACCAACATGCCAAACTCCACCTAATGGGAACTCCGACCCAAATTCCAAACCAGCTAAGAGAAGGAGAGACAGATGGAGATTTTCAGGGCACATTCTTTCGCCTTGTTTCAACGTCATTACCGGAAGTAGTAACAACTAACAATGGCTCTTCACAACAAGAATCTCACTGCACCACACCGAGATCGCTCTCAGGTATAAGCATGGACTGTGCCTGTCTTTTACTTACTGCTAATGTGCACCACCCAAAACCCAATTGGTTTTCAGCCCACAGCTCACAGCCCAAAACCCAATTGGTTTTCAGCCCACACAGCTCACAGCCCAAAACCCAATTCGCTTTCTGCCCACACAGCTCACATCCCAAAACCAAATTGGTTTTTTGTAGGGTTTTGTAATTTTCTAAACCTTAATGCCCCAACCTTCCCTCTCTACTCTCTTCTGAGTTTACTGCATCTTCTGCTTCTTCACCATCCATTTCCCCGCCACGAAACATCTTGCCGCTGATCTTGTCAACGCCCCCTTCACATTTCGTCGTCGTCGCCTCCGCCGCCGCCGCTACTAGATTTCGCTGCCACCTGCCCCTCGCCACCAAGTTTAGCTCCATTCTTTCATCTTCTTGCATTTTTTATTCATGTTTTTTCTTCTCTGACGGCCACTGCTTCTCATTTTTGCTCTTTGCCTTTCTGTATTTTCTCATTCCTTCAATGCCCTTTGTATCGTCGATTCGTTGAGCAAAGATGCTCGGTTAAAACTGAACCGAGTTGACGGACCACTGAGCCTCAGTAGGAATTGCAGTAGAATGCCAAGTTTGCTTTTTTTTTTTTTTTTTTT